TTTTTTTTTTTTTTTTTTTTTTTTTTTTTTTTACATTTTACATTAACAGATTTCTATTGATAAAAGAGAAGAAAAAAAAACAGATAAGTTCAACAATTGCAATTCAGACGTACCTTCCAGTTGAACAACGTTTAGTTTTTTCGGCCTGTTGTTTCTGCCAATCATTTATGACAACGGCAACAGCCCCAGGTTAAATCTATTGATATAAACCACAACCGAGCTGTATTGAATTTAGCTTTTTTATGCCATATTAATTGGTTATGCTATTTTTTTCCAGATTTTTTTTTTCTTTTTTTTTGCACTTAAGCAGTATCAAAGTTCTGTTGTTACTCTTAAAACAAAACTTTGATTGTTGCTGTTTTCGTTTATAAAAAGTGATTTCTACCAAACTGTATACGAAAATATAAACAGAGCTTTGAATAGAAAAAACACTGAATTGTTTTGGCTATAACTCGACAAAGAACGTAAAACTTGGAATTTTTTTTCACTTTTAAAACACAGTTCTCTATCCAAAAAAGAAATTACAAAATTCAAAAAATAATTTTATCTCTTTGACTGTTTTCTTTTTTTTAGTTACTAATGATTTTTGCTTCTACTTTTTTTTTTCTTGTTGGATAATTGCTTGTCGACAGTTAATCGTTGTTGTTTTTGTTGTTGCTGTTGACACTGTTTTCATCTGATAGTTTTTTATCGTATAACTAAATAGTATTAGTCATTTACATTTATATCTTGTCGCATTTTTTTCCTAATAGTCTGTATGCCCCTCCAAAAAAAAGGGAATTGAAATTGTCCAAATTTGTATCATTCAATTCGCATTTTTCAATTGAAAAAAAAGTAGATGAATTAGTTTTGTGCTTTTTTTAGTTATTATTATTATTATTTTCTCTTGTAATTTCATTTTATTTTTTTTTTTGCCAAAATCAGCAGAGTAAAATAGCAGTATTACTTGAAATAAGCAGAGATTGGTTTAGCGTTTAAAAAAAGAGGAGAAGATAAGTAAGGAAGGATTTAAAAAACAAGATAAGAAAAGAAAAAAATATATATATAAATTATTTTGGAACAGTTTTGTTGTTCTTTATAAAAGACGTTTTTTCAGCAAAATAATTTGAAAAAGTTTTTTGCTAATTAATAAAGAAAAAGTTTTTTTTAATCAATATCTCTGACAGTAAAACGATTAAAATTTGTTTTGTAGGAGATAATTTTGAAATTAGCCGGCTGTGCTGCCATTCTTTTCTTTCTTTGTTTGATGAATAAAGTTAGTTTGATGTTTTTATCGTATAGAAAAAAAAAATTAAAATTTTTTTTGTATGTGAATGCACTTTTTCAAAATGCTTCAGTGTTTTGAAGTGAACAAAGCCGGAACAACAAGGCTCGAAGGAGACGAAAATAAAGAATAGTCAGGAGAGGGGAGGAGGTGGAAGAGAGGGGATGTAGGAGAACGATTAGGAGGATGGAGAACAACGATAAACTTAAGCAAATGAACCCTCGTTGGCTATGCTGAATAATAAGTGAGAGAATGCACTTGCCTCTTGAGACATTACTAGCCGAGAATCATGCAAAAGCTGTCACAGTTAACGATGCTACTTTCTCAGTCAAAGAAGTTTTCAATTTTCATTGCTAATATCTGCTATTTGTATCTGTCTGTAATGTTTGAGCTACGGAGGTATTGAAAGTGGTGTGGATTTCAGTGTGAACTGCTTTTGGCATAATTGTTATTAGAGCAAAGTTTAAAGTCATTTGATTCCTGCTAGTTTATGATCAAGTTGGCTCATTTTCTGCTGAGCTATCGCTTCTCAAATTTTAATTTACTGATTCAGACGATACAGAAGTGGTGTATAATATATCATCTAGAAAGTTTATTACTTACTGCTATCTCGCACAACAAAATTGTTTCATTTTTCACTTTAATTTTCACTTTTGATTTTTATTTGAAATGTAAAAAAAAACAATTTTTTTATTAATTTCTTTTTCTTTCTAGAAATCTACAGTGACTTTCTAAATCTTCTTTAAAACAATTATTACTGAGAGTACTACGATTTAGAATTATGGAACATAAATAAAAACCTGAAAGAAATTTGTGTTGAGCTTTGTAAATTTCTGGAAACTATTATCACTGTATGATAACGTCTAAAAGCGGTTTTTGAATGTTTTGAGAAACTTAGACGTAAAACTTAGCTGCATTTGTTTTACCGCATATGTTTTTCTCATACTGTGATTACCATTGTTCTGCAAATTTTGAGTTAGTTGTGTGCGGAGAAAAGTTGTAAGATTGAAAGCGTGGAAAACCTGGTTACGGCAGTTTTCTTTGACTTACAAATTTTTTAGTCATAGTAATACCACGCCTTTTACCAGATTGATAACTGTGTGAAAAATTTTCCTCTTTTTTTTCTGTGATGACTAATTCTCACTGCAACCAAAAAAGTGAAGTATAATCTGCTGGAGTAAAAAAATTATAATTGCAAATCTTTACAGACCTGTTGAACACTTTTCATCTTTTCACTTCCGTTTGTGAAAATCTCAAATTTTTTTCAACAGAACATAGTAAACAACGTGTTTAGTCTTTCTCAATGTCAACAATCTTTTTTTCCCTGACTGTTTTTTTTATGCCTTCCTGTTCTATTTTTTCACCGTGTTTTCAATCTAGCATTATCGAAGTATACTGGCAAAAAATATATTATATAGCAACTTGAGTCATCAATAGTGATACAGACTGAAGAACAAGAACAAAGATTGATTTTACCCGAGCATTTTACACAAATTGTATTCAGTGAATCACCGTTGTCGTCCGGATCGTTGTCGCGTCAGGAGCCCGGGAATAATAGAATACCGTCACCAGTTATGGCACCACCACACGTCGAGTACAAAGATGTTGGAGGAAAATCTTTTGTGCATGTATATTTTGTATATATACTTTTTTCTTTTTTAGATCTTAAAAAATAAATGTAGTAGGGTAAAGACCTAATAAATAATGTTTGAAATACACATTTTTTGGCTTATTTATCATATTTTGTATCCAAACATCGTTCCACTGATGAAGCAATAATACTTTTTTTTTTTCAAATCTATAAAATATCTCAAAATTTTGGTTTTGATCCATTTAAAACAAGTAGATATATCTGAAAAGATATTTGAAAAAAGTTTTTTTTTTTTTTTTGGAAAGCAAATAAAATAGATAAAAGTAATTGCTATTCGCTGTATCTATTAGTGAAACTAATTCGTTTTTCAGTGGTTTAGACGAAGAACACTATTTGAAAAAATTCTTTTATTAGCATTATTTTTTGCCATATTATCACTGATTTTATCTCTAATTATTGGAACAACGCTAATTTCGAATTGCAGTGAGTTATATCTCGTTCATTCGTTGTACAATAACCAAATTGTCTTTACAGATAAACAAATATTTTGAATCGTTTGCCAAAAACAATATCTTTTTTTGACTTTTTTTTTGGTATCACTTCTATATGATGTTGTTTAAAACACTTCATCTGGCTATTGCTAGTTTTTCACTTTTAATTTTATTATGGAAACACACGAGTTTGTGCTTAATAAACAAGGTTTTTTTTTTCAGAGAGTGCTGATACGGTATCAGTATGCACAACTAAAGGATGCGTATTAGCTGCTAACAATTTGGTAGCAAAATTTATAATTAGTCTTTTCTTATTCAGACTGCTTAAATAGAGGAGAAAAGTGCTTTTCAAGTATTACTTAAAGCTGTGGGTAAAGCAAAAAATAACTGAAATGCAGCTAACCTATTTTTCTCAACTAGTTCTAAGAGCTACTTTTTTTTTTCTATTACTGCTGTTGCTGTTGAAATCAAGTCAAAATAGGTAACTAAACAGTAAAACAGTATTTCATACTTCTATTTGATAATGCATTTTCTTTTTCTCTTTTGCAGTTAACAGCAATGAATTTATCTGCATCACCATGTGAAAATTTCTACGAATATGCTTGTGGACAGTGGAACCGTGATCACCAAATACCCGACGATATGTTCGCCTATGGTACATTTGCTTATCTGAAAGAGGATGTTCGGCAACAGATGCGTAGTTAGTTTTTTCGTGCTCAAGTTCGCTGATCAAAACAGCAATATTTTTGAAAAGCTGTAAAAAAGCCTGATTTATCCAATTTTTTACTTAAATTATTATTTCAATTTGATCTAAAAATTTCAAAAACAAGTGTTTTTTTTTTTGTGTACCCTAAAGATTTTTACAGTGCTATTGGAATCTGATACGCCAACTCCGAGCAGGTCTATTCAAATGGCAAAACAAGTGTACAAGAGTTGCATGAACACCACAGAGCTGGAGAATTTGAAATCTAGGTAAGCTACTACGTTAATTAGACTTTTGAAAAAATCAACTTTAGTGATTGTTATTGGAACTAATGTAATTTATCGACATTTTTTAACCAATTTTTAAATTTTAGTAAACTTTTGGAGGCTATATCGGTGTTAGGTGGATGGCCATTATTGAAACCAGAAACCTGGGACGAAAAATCGTTTGACCTAACAGCGTTGGTTAGTAAAGCACAAAAACTGTACTCCATTGAAGTACTCTTCTCTCTGTCAATATATCCAGATATGCGAAATACAACAAGAAGCATTATTTATGTAATTTTTTTATAAATTTTATAAGATGCTTGAAAAAGTAGTGGTTACCGTCTTTTATAAATATTTCCTGTTTTTTAACAATATTTTTTTTCAACTTTTTCTTCCAGATATTTTGAAAAATTTTCTTAACATAGAAATAATTCTTCTGAAAATTTCTTAAGATTTTCGAAATTAATACTGGACAGAAAAAAAATTAAGGTTAGGCTTAATTGCTCTACAAAAAGTACATTGTAGAATAATAGTAAACAAAATGTAACTTTTTTTTAGATTGACCAAGGTTCGCTTGGATTAGGTCGTGGTTCTCGTGAATACTTTTTAAATGCCAGCGTCTTCGGCAAACAGCTGGAAGCTTACATCAATTATCAGCGAAAAGCTGTAGAGCTGATTATGACTGACGCTAATGTAAAACGTTCTTCAGAAGACTTAGACAAGGACTTAAAAGAATTAATTGATTTCGAGAAAAAATTTGCATTGGTAAAACCTCTATATCAACTTATTGTTCCCTGTTTGCCATCTGTTAAACGTTTAGAAAAATAGGCAAATTTTTTTTTTGTTTTCAACTGTAAATTAAAGACAGGGATTATAAAGTACGAATGACTGGAGTTTAAATGAATGTATACCATTAAAAAACAATTTAGATTTTTGTACCGGAAGAAAATAGGCGAAATAACACTCGTCTGTATAACAAAGCGACAATTGCTAGTCTTAGCACTTACCTACCGCAGGTTTGTTTTCAAATCAGTTTTGAAATTTGTCGTTTTTTTAATTAAGTTTTTCAAATTTTTTTCTGTTATTTGATTATTTAAACGGCAAAAAAAAAAGAAGTACAAAGGTCATTTTATCTTTATTTTTTAGATTGACTGGTTAAGATTTTTCAAGTCTGTAAGCCCAAAACCGTTACATAACTATTTGACAAACAATACTGAAGTGGTGATATGCGAATTGGAGTACCTAAGCGATGTTTCAAAGTTGTTGAATCAGACAGAAAGTCGTATTGTGGTTAATTATCTGCTATGGCGTATTGCCACATTTGCCACAAAACTTCTGGACAGTCGATACGAAAATATAAAACAAGTAAATCATTTATGTACCGTATTCTGATTTATCTATTTTTTTCTTTTTAACAACATTTTTTTCTCAAAAGGACAAAATTTCAGGATTTTTCACGTGTAATGACTGGTCAGCAGGCAAAATCTCCACGTTGGAAAGACTGCGCTCAAACTCCAACCGGTCTTCTTCCGTTTGCTGCTGGCGCATTGTATGTTCGTGAACACTTTGATTCTGAAGACAAAAAAGAGGCTATGGTTAGCTGTTTTATTTAGTTTGTTATAAACTGTTTACTACGCTTCATTTATGCAATTTTGCCTGTAAAATTTTAAAACTTACTTCCTCTGATTTTATTAAATAATTTTGAATATATTTTGTTATCATTTTTCAAATCTTAGGAAATGATTGGAAATTTACGCGAAGCTTTCAAAGATTTAGTTAGAGAAAACGACTGGATGGATGCTCAAACTAAATCAGTGGCAATAGAAAAGGTTTCATTTTTTGAACTAATGATAAAGCAGCAGGAATTCGGTAAAGTATTTAAAACGTGTATTTGTCATTAATTGTAGGTAGATAATATGATCAATTATATTGGTTATCCAGATTTTATCAACAACGACACCAAATTGGACAAATATCACGAAAAAGTAATCTTTTTGTTGTCAAAGTAACGTCTGTAAAAGTTGAACAGTTTACAATACCTTTTCTTTCAAACTTTTCGGCAGACCAAAATGTTAAGGTTAACTTACTTTAGTCGTTTTGAAAGTACTATTGATCACTAATTTTTCAGCTAGTATTTATGCCCAATGACACTTATTTTGATCTCTTACTCAGAGTTATTTGGTGGACTAATGAGCGTGAATTTTTGAAACTGTTGAAACCATACGATAAATATGAGTTTGAAATTAGTCCAGCTGTTGTGAATGCGTTCTATTCACCCGAAAAGAATGGACTGTGTTAGTTGGTTCAATATATTTTTAAGATTTACATCTTTCCTATGACACCAAATACTTTAATTAATAATACGATAAAGGGAAACTGAACTGTCCAGTGCTGTCATCTACAATAACGCTTATTTCAGCTTTTCCAGCAGGTATTTTAAAACCACCTTTCTTCAGCGGAATTTATCCAAAGCAAGTTTTTTTCGAACAACTTTCTACGCATTAGCTTTATCTACTTTTGATAATTATGCAATTGAACTATTTTATCAACTTAACATGGTTGGGGTTTAAAAGGATATTGAATTGTAAATTGTTTTTTATTCTTTCAACGTTTTATAATGTAAAAAAGGCTTTTTTCTTTTTTACGTTTCTTCTTTTTAAAATTAACTCATTTCACTTGTATTTTTCCTCTTTGGTTTCTTTTTTTTTGTTTGATTACTGAATGGAAAATGCACTGAAAAAATAAGGATAGAAGTTTTTATCAAATGCAAATTTCAATGGACGGTCTGTGTGGTGGTTTGGGGAACATAGAACGCTATGATGACTGTTTAATAAAACGTTTTATAGTTTGGATCTCTTATCTCTCTAAATTACCATACAATTAGCACTCTTTTTTCAAATACATGAAAAGTTTTGTTTAAACGACTTTTTTGAAAAAATTTACATACTAATAAATTAAAAGTTTTTTGTGTTATGCAAAGCTTCTGTCTATTGCTAGGAAGATTCGTTTTTGAAGATTCTATTTACCTTGTAAGAAAAGTCTTGTTAGGTTTTTTACTGATGTTTTCTCAAAACAGGAAAGAAAGTAATGTGTATATTTTAGGCGAACTGTTTGTTTCTAAAAAATGTAGTGATAATTTTTTTCTTTTGAAAAAGGACATTATTCTGTTAGTTACCTGAAGAAGTTTTCAAGTCAGAATAGTGAAGTCAAAGACTTTCAAAAAACTTGGGAACGATCATCCAGTTGTTACTGAAATAATTTTGGTGGTCTCATCTTTCTGTTTAAAATATCAGTTGAAGCAGTTCTGAGTTGTTTTGAGGATTTTTCTGTAGTACAATTTTTTACCGTACAGTTTTTAAAACGAGAAGAACGAAGTAAATTTATAGTATATTACCAGACATGAGATTTTTTTTTGGATCTGTCTTTTTTTTTGGGGTTTTCTGTTTTAGAGCAATTTTTTTGTCAGTTCCAATTTCAACTTTTTTTTCTAATTTTCAATTGAGAAAAGGGAATTTATACAGTTTTTAGTGCCAACTACAACACTGTTTATAAGTTTATCTTTCAATTGTTTATAATATCATTTTACATTGTAATATTACAGAATGGTTAACTATGGTGGTATTGGTGCAGTGATTGGACACGAAATTACTCATGGTTTTGACGACCAAGGTGACTATATTTTAAAGCAGTATTACTATGAAGTAAAAGTAATACCGTATAGTTAAGCTGCTATTTTCTAGTCATTAAACAGTCCTAAGGAAACACCTAATAAAAACAGATGGAATTAGACAAAATTGATAAAATAATTTTTTCTCTTGCGACACACTATATCTCTAAAATTTAGCCACTTCAGTGTTTTCTTTAAAAGCAGCTCAGGATAATTCAAAAAGTAATTATTGCAGGCAGTCAGTTTGATAAAGACGGAAATCTTAGAAATTGGTGGAACGAAGATTCGTACAGAGGATTTGCTGAAAGAAAGCAGTGCATGATTGAGCAGTATAGTTCATACACATTACCGGATACAGATATAAGGGTATTTTAGTTATTCTGCTAAAAAGAAATAACTTTTTTTTTTGTGCAATTATTTGTTGTAAACCGTTTGAAACACTTTTTGTAAATTGCAGTAACATAAATTATTAACTTGACTGTAGCTAATTTTTTAAGGTAAACGGTAAGCTAACACAAGGAGAAAATATTGCTGATAACGGCGGGGTGAAGGAAGCATATCGGGTACTGTTCTACCACTTTGTTACTACTAAAAATCGTTATTACCGTATATTCGTTATGAAAATACATCATGATCTGATTAACAAATAACTAGTTTATTTTTCTGCATAATGATTATTTGTTGTTTTTAGGCTTATCGTAAATATGTAAAACAGCACGGCGAAGAAGGTACTTTGCCGGGATTTGAGAACTTTTCAAATGAACAAATTTTCTTTTTATCCTATGCTCATGTGAGTTTTTCTTCTGCTAATTCTGAAGCTTTTTTTTGTGCTGTTGTCGAGACTTTTCTGTTAATTTTATAAATTTGCCAATTTGGCTCAGACAATGCGACATTTCAAGATTTTTGGTTGTGACACTCAAAACAGATTGTGACTCTCGAATGGTTATTTCTTTTGTCTAAGAAGTCTCACTTATGAGAGGTTACAGTTTTGGTGTGGACATAAAAAGGAGGCGGCAGCAATGCAGCAAATTTCAACAGATGAGCACAGTCCAGAAATATTCCGTGTCATTGGAGTTCTGTCTAATTTGGAAGAATTTTCTGAAGCTTTTAAGTGTTCTAAAGGTTCTCCGTTAAATCCAGACAAACGTTGTGTTGTTTGGTAAATTGTACAAGAATTTTTTTTTTTTTATCTTGCACTTGTCGTCTTATTCCGATTTTCTTTTTTTTTTTTT